AGGAAATGCTGGGTATATCCTACCATTCCTTGTTGCTAAGTGTGGAGCTCTCCTCCACCGGAAGAGGCTCTGTGTTTAGCTCAGCAGAGTTATAGGATACAACTCCCTGTATTTTAGGAGATGTTATGGGAAGCTTGAAGTCTAAATAGCTAGCAAAGAGTAGGCGCCTTCCTGAAGGGATGTTGGGGCAGTAGGATGAATGGTCTTCAGTGATTTGTTCTCTCTTGGGATGGTTGAGTCATGTCTGCCTCACTGGAGCTGCAAGGGGGAAGTTTACTGCTAGGCTGTGATTTTTGCCCAGGATAGTGTTTAGGCTCTTTAGCACAGTGCTGCTGCCACCATGTTAATTCAATATTAAATAGGTTTAGCATGCTAAACATCTTTTAAAAGAAAGTTATTGCCTGTTTTCATTTTAACGCATTAGCGAGAGTGTTAGAAAAATTATTCTTTTAAATCTCAATTTTGGAGCAGAGAAGTGTTGCCAAAGTGGGAGAGAAGGAACTGCAACAGGGGATCATCTACGGCAAAGGTCCTCAGTGTGATGCCTGTGTGCATCATGGTGCCCACTAATAACTTTTTTGGTGCCCACGAAGTGTTTTTTAGAAAGTAGGCAGGGCTAGGTGGGACTTTTGCCCAGGCTGTGCAGATTTTTTTTTAAGTTGCTGTGCCCCCCCCCCATGGGCAGTGGGACATCATAATTGATTTCCATAATCAGTAGAGACTCACCAGACACTATGTTGCTCCTTAATTGCCTCTTTATTGGATGCAGGAAAGTTCACCCCAAAAAATCCTGAAAAAATCCCAAATATATTTGGGAATTACCGGGCAGATTTGAAAAACAGCAGAGAGGCGGGAGCAGATTGCTCCTGCCTCTCAGCTGTTTGTCGGGCTTCTACTGCAGTCCCTTTAAAGTGTAAAGGGACTGCAGAAGACAGCTCGATAATCAGCTGTGCTGGTGGGAAGTAGAGTGCTCTTCACCAGCTCAGCTTTGGGCTGGCTTCTTTTGCATCCCTGAATGAGGCTGCAGGAGAATTCAGCCTGAGGATCAGCTGTGCTGGTGGAGAGCAGACTGCTCCCTGCCAGCTCACCTCTGGGTGTGCAAACACCCCCCCCCCGTTTTTTTCCTTCTCTGATCTATTGGACCCAGGGCCGGCCCCAGCTTTTTTTGCACTCTATGTGAGGATCCCTTCTGCCCCCCCCCCGTGCGCCTGCCAAGGAGACCTTCCCGGGGGGGGGGTCCAGCTGCAGGGCTTTTCCCTCCTGCTGTTACATGGCTGCAGGCCTCCTCCGTCCTCTCTCGGCTCCCCATGCAAATGCAAACCCTCCCCCCCCACCCACCGGAACGGAGCCTCTCCCCTCCCCTCCCCTCTAGGAGTTGGGAACCTTCTGCAAACCCTGTGCTGAGAATGGCGATCCCGGCCTCCCTCCCGTACAATATCCAGTCAAAGCCTCTCCCCACCCACCCAGACGGCTTACTTCCAAGACCTTCCGGGAGGGGAGAGGATCCGGCTGCAGGGCTTTCCCCTCCTGCTGTTGCACGGCTGCAGCCCCTCCCAGTCCTCTCTCACCCCCCCTGCAAAAGCAAACCCTTCCCGCTCCCCCCTGGAAAGGAGCCCCTTCTCTTTGCCACCCCCTCCCCCCCTGCTCGTCCTCGCCAGCAATCAGCTCCGTCAGCTTCACCCCTTCATTGCTGCAGATGAATGCAAAAGGTGTCCTCCTGTCCTGGCCATGGAGAGCTTCAGCCAGGCTGCCCTCAGCGTCGCCCTATGCCACTCAGTGGGGCTCCTCTGGACTCCTCTCTCCCCCTTCCTCCCTCCCTCGCCATGGGACGGGGGTGCCTGGGGGAAGCTGCTGCCAATGAGAGGAGGAGGCGCCGGAGGCAGTGGGTCCCTGAGCCAGCTTGGCCCCCGGCCACAGAGGTAGGGCTGGGATCAGGAATGGCCTGGAATGGCCTGCGGAACCGCCCGCCACTGCAGCCGCCGGCCCCAGCCCGCCGCCCAAGACCACCACCTGCCAGGGCGGCATCGGGGGCTGCTGTTCATCCTGCTCTGGGGGGGGTTCTGGCGGCACAGCAAGAGGAGGCCGTTGAGGCAGCAGAGGAGGGCCATGCAGGGCACCAGCAGCCCCCCCAAGGAGGCGCAGAGTGGCCTGCAGTTCCATCGGCTCCATCCCGATGGAGACCAGGGAGGGGTGGAGGTGGGCACATGCTCCACGCCGGCACCTTGGGGCCTCCATCTGCGGGCTGGCTGGGCTTTTGGCGGGGTCGGGGGGACTTTTGATGGGGTGGGTGCAGTTTGGTGCCCCTAAGGGCCGGCGTGCTCTAGGCGAACACCTAGTTTGCCTAGTGCGTGAGCCGGCCCTGATTGGACCTCCCCAAATTCATTCTCTGATCTATTGGTCCCCCCAAAATTCAGGATTGTTGAAAAATCCTGAATCTGATCACTGTACCGTTATTGGGATCCAAGATTTTTTTGGAATTCTGAACAGACCCAAACTGAAAAATACCAGGGGGGGGGATTGCACACCCCTAGTTACTATTAATACTTGAGTGCTTCTTATATTAGGTAAAGGACTTGGTTCCAAGAGACCTCATTTTCTGCAACAGAAGACTGCTTCTGATGGTATGCATAGTCACCCATTCTCACTGCAGACTCCCATATAAATCCATACAGTGCTATCTCTGGGCAGGGCCTGCTCTCTCACTAGGCCAGCTAGTCTCTGGCCTAGGGTGGAGCTCCGAATAGGGCACCAACTGCCATGCCACCCTCCCCCCGCCAAAAGCCCCCCCTGCCCAAAGTCGCTGAGTGGCTGGCCATAGGGCTGGGCGCCCCGCCAAACTGCCCATGGCGCAGCCGCGGCCCCACAAAAAGCCCCCGCCACCCAGCAGCCCTGCCTCTTCCCGCCTGCCCCCCAGAGACTGCTGTGGAAACCAGCTGGTAAGTTCTTTCATTGGGGAGGGGGGCGGCGGCAGGGGGGGTGATAATGCAAGTGTCTGGGTATGCGTGGGGCGGGAGGGGGTGCAGGTGGACTAGATCAGGTCTCCCCCCCCCAACTAATAGCAACAAGGCAGGCATCGGGTTGGGTTGTTTGCTGGAAAAGCGGCAGGAGACCCCAGCCACCTCTGCCTCTTTCTCTCCCCCCAGAAGGCCCGGGGAGGCGCCCTTTAAAGTCCCAGGGCCGGAGGCACACTCTGCCCGTGCAATGTTCCCGCGCCTCCCCCCTCCCCACCCAGCTGGGCGCTCCCAACCTCCCCATAGCCTTTCCTTTCTCCGCTCCCCCCCATGCCCCAGACGGGACCGGTGAAAGAGCAGTGGCTTGCATCTCTCCAGCGCATGGGGGGAACCTTGTAGAGCTTCCCAAGGAGTTCCAGGAGGGGGGGATGCTGCCAGAGGGGGGCTGGGTGCAGGGAACTTCCCCCCAAGGGCTTCATGGCTGCGAGGATGCCCTGCCCCCTTCCCTTCCCTCCCTTCCCTCCAATGTCCCCCATCTGGTGGGGCTGAAGAGGGACCTGGCAGCAGCCCAGCGGGAGACACGGTTCTTTGCCGAGGACAACCCCCCTGTTGGCCCTTTAAGGCTGAGGCCAAACCTGCTGTTGGCAGGGGGATTGCGAAACTGTTGCCAAGTTGGGAGAGAAAAGGGGGGAGGAGACGGGGACACCCCCTCCCTCCCGCTGGCTCTTCCCCCTCCCCCCACCCTTCCCCCCCCCAAAGTGCCAGGATAGTGCAAACAGAACATGCATTTCTTTGGACATAATCCCCCCCCCACGTGTGCACTTTCGCAAAACAAGAGAATCATCCCACTGGGCAGGAGGGAAGATCTAATGAATCTGATAGCAGAAAGCCATGGGCAGAGCCGCCCAAGAGAGAGAGAGAGAGAAGAGTGAATTTCCTCCCCCCCACCTTTTTCATTTTGGGATAAAGGTGGGGGGAATGCTGCCATTTTAAAAGCATTTTTAATTGGGGGAAATAAAAAGTAGATGTGATTTTTTTAAAAGAAAGGAAAGAAAAGGGGAAGAACTGAGAGATTCGCGGCTCTGTAATTATTGTGTCAATTTCAGGATGAATTAACAAAAATCGACTGGGAGACGGTCTCCAGGAGGAAAATTTAATTTTACCTTATTTACTTGGGGGAGGGGAGAAAGGGCAGAGGAAATCATTGATCATATATATTTATTTATAGTGGAGAAGCCGAGTGCCAAGTTAAGATAAGGAATAATTTGCATATTTTTGTTTTTCGGGGTTTTTTTTTTTTGGTTTTTTTTAAAGAAATGGTTCCAGGTTTCTGGATGGTCTGGAATTGCCTTAAGCTTTGGAGGGCTTGTGGCTAGAGAGAGTCATGAAAAAGTCTTCCTTTCAAATGTTTCTAGAAATCGGGTGCCTCTAGAAATTAGGGGTACTTTGGGCCACAGGTGTGTAAAATATAAGACGTCTAGCTTCTCCTAAAATGCATTTATGTTTGAAAATTGGTGGGCGCACCGGGGGGGGGGCGCCAGAATGTAGCCTGGCCTAGTGTGCAAAAAACCCTGGAGCCGGCCCTGTTTCTGGGGCAGTGTTTTGTTGGTGTGTGGTTGACTAGAGTGAGAGGGGCAAGGTGGGAAAGCTGCATTCCAGATCCAGCACAAAAGGTCCGTTGGTTGGTCAGTCTTGCCATAAAGTTGTAGAAGTTCTCTTACTCAAAAATAGTCCAGAGAATTATGCAGTTAACACTGTATGTCCAAAAAACTTAATTCTTCAAGCAGTAGCTCCTTACACTGTATTGTGATTATCTTTTGGGATTATCAGTGCAAGAACTGCTGTTAGAGGACAAAAGGCCTGGAGGGGATATGTAAGGCTCTTGATGCCCCAAAGGGACCTCTTTGGATTATGGGCTGTGGCTATAATAAAGTAATTTGGAATTAATACATCTTAAATAGTTCCTTGAATTAAATTAAATTGTTTATTTGTGAAATTTGTCTTTCAAACACAGTTAAGTAAATGTGAACTTTTAAACATTTCTTGTAGAAAATCAATGCAAAACTACATGAAGGTCTATGTCAACATTGTAAAGAGGTCTTAGAATGGCGTGTGAAATTCAACAAGTACAAACCACTAACTAAGCCTAAAAAATGGTGAGTGAATTTTACTGTTCCTTAGCTGTCACCCAGTAAAATAATATATGCAGGTTTATGGAGACAAATGCAACTTTTTATGAGCTTGATACACAGAATGTTTTCTTGTGCCTGGGCTGTGGGTTTGTGCTTTTCAAAGTGTTTTGACTGGAATATGCAGTTGTGCAATGTTCTGAATTTAAATTCTTAGAATAATAGATGCCGCCTTCAGGATACAATACAGTTCTTTTTGATAAAAGACTATTTGGAATGTTTGTAATTTATCATCTCTTTACATAGAAGTTAATGGATTTCTTTCTCTCTGTGACATGTATCATAATTTTTTTTATGGGTTGATATGAAACACTCTTTTTAATGACTTTCTGGGTGTGGGTTATGTTACAATAGCTAAAATTATGGAAAAGAATGTAGAAGCCTCCAATTGCATGTTACATGGATTTGAAAATTAAATGAAAAGAAGGTGTGAAATAGTACTACATTAAAGTAACTATTGTTAAAATATGAGATTGCTAGTTGACATCAAAACTAGGATTGCTGAAAAATCCAGTAGCTCTTCTAATGTATTTTAGAAACACACAGAGACAATGCTGCTATTTGATCTATCTTAATAATAATTAAGGAAAAAACAAAGAAAGTTTATTTAAAATATTTATACCCCTCCTTTCCTTAATATTCAAGTTAGTTTTACTTGGGATTCTGTTTACACTTGGAGGATGTGGGCCCACAGAGATCTTTAACATAAGACAGCAGAGCTTGTAACTGAGGAGTAACATTTTTTTTTAAGTTTATTTATCATTTTCCCATAACAAAAAAGAAAAATATATGCATTATATATACAGAATACAGTTTGGAGTTTACATTTACACACTTTGTTCAATCCATCTGTCCATTTTTTGCCATCTTTTTCAAAACACATTCTCGTCTTTCCCTGACAATATCATGTTTACTTTATCCATTTCCTTAATTTCCATAATTTTCATAATTATTTCTTCTCTACTTGGTATTTTATCTGATTTCCAACATTTCGCTATAAGAATTCTAGAACTAGTAAGAATATATAATATTAGACATAACTCATTATATTTAATCCCATCCGGTAACATGTTAAGCAGATATGTTTCTGGCACCAACTTCAGATCTATATCAGTAATCTCTAGTATTAGTTGTTTTATAGTTTTCCAAAATTTACAAACCTTCTCACATCTCCACCATATATGGTAGTATGATCCTATGTTATTTTTGCATCTCCAGCAGTTTCCTGAAGCATTCTTATAACATTTAGCTACCTTATCTGGTGTCCAGTGCCACCTGTAAAACATTTTAAGGATATTTTCCTTATATGTTGTAGGGCTTAATAATTTTATTGATTTGGTGACTTCCGGTCTGTGGCTCGGTGATGGCGGAGGCTCTCCCCTAATGCTGGGGAGGCATTCCGCGCTCCAGTGGGGATTGGAGGGGTGCCACCTCAAGTGGCACCCCCAGGTGAGCCTTGTAAGGCTCCGAGCCGAGGGCGCTTGGGGGGGTGTCCTCTTCGATGGCAAACTGCCGGAGAATTGAGGCGCTCCCTTTGCCCCAATCGGTCCGCCCCCTGAGAGGCTCGGTTTTCACCGAGCTCAGCCGATGCCGGCCGGGACAAGCAGATGAGGGTTATCGAATTACACAAAGCTAAATG